TTGATGTGTTGTGAGGTTGTTAACCATTGTCATAGGGCAACGTGTGTACTAACTGTTAAACGAGAAACTATTTTGTTCTGTAAGCCTTCATCTAAAGTGAGAATAGCAGCACAATTGGAAGAGTGTAGTCGATGTCACTGAACTGTGCACGTAGAAATTTTTGAAATGGTATATCTTTGGCTATGTATATTTTCACCGAAATAAAGGTCAAGAAGGGAGAGGGTTGACATGTTGTGGGGTTGTTAACCAATATCATAAAACAATATGTGTACTACTGTTTAATGAGAAACTATTTGTTCTGTAAGCCTTCACCTGAAGTACAATTAAAAAAAAAAAAAGATAATTTAAAGATAATTTAAGGAGCCCTGGTGGCACAATGGTTAAGCACTCGGCTGCTAACTGAAAAGGTGAGGGTTCGAACACACCAGCAGCACCAGGGGAGAGAAGACCTGGCAATCTGTTCCTGCGAAGATTACAGCCTAGGAAACCCTAAGGGATAGTTCTACCCTGTCCTTTAGGGTTACTTTCAGTCGGAATCAACTCAACAGCACTCAACAAAAGATAATCTGTATATATCAGTTACCCAAATAACCCATTCTTCAAACGTACTACGAACTGTCAGAGTCCTTCAGCCCTTTCACCAATATGGTCTGGGGTGGGACCAGCCCTCTGGCCTGGGGGAATAGAGCGTTTTGTGGGTTCCACCCTCCTTCCATTCGGCCAGGTCATGGTAGGTGGTGATTGACTCAGGTGTCATATTCCCCAGCGTTTAGGAGAGCAGGACACAGGCCCCACTGAGGGCTGTGGTCAACTACAAGAGGGAAGCACCACTGCTCAGGGTCTGAGCCTATCCATTTCCCTCTCTACTCCTCCATTCCATTCTCCCCCCCCCCCGTCCCTCCCCCACCACACACCCCCACACGCACACCAATACTCAGGAAAATAGCTTTCAGCAAATTGATTTCCTATATACTGGTCAGCTTTCTCTGCTTTATTCACCCTCTCCCACCTTGGGTAACTACTAACAATTCAAGGCATAGCCTTCTAGACCTGCTTTTGTGCATGGTGCAAATATATAATGCATATGCTTATAGTTTGGGTTTTTTAATGGCTTGTGTATTTTCTAGAAACTGCTTTTGTTTCAGCAGTGTTCTTCCATGTCAATATATAAAACATAGTTACTACTGGCTGTTATGGATTGAATTGTGTCCCCAAAAAATGTGCCAACTTGGCTAGGCCATGATTTCCAGTATTGTGATTGTCCACCATTTTGTCATCTTATGTGATTTTCCCATGTGTTGTAAATCCTACCTCTATGATGTTAATGAGGCAGGGTTAGAGGCAGTTATGTTAATGAAGAAATCAGTCTACAAGATTAGGTTGTATCTTGTCAATCTGTTTTGAGATAAAAAAGAGAAGCAAGCAGAGACATGGGGACCTCATACCACCAAGATAGTGCCAGGAGCAGAGCACGTCCTTTGGACCCAAGGTCCCTGTGCTGAGAAGCTCCTAGACCAGGGGAAGATTGATGACAAGGACTTTCCCCCAGAGCCAACAGAGACAGAGAGCCTTTTTCTGGAGGTGGCGCCCTGAATTCAGACTTCCAGCCTCCTGGACTGTGAGAGAATAAATTTCTCTTTGTTAAAGCCATCCATTTGTGTTATTTCTGTTATAGCAGCACTAGGTAACTAAGACACTGGCATTGAGATTTTTCTGTTTAGTTTGGATTGTGCAATTATATTTAATAAGCTTAAACTCATATATTCGTTCTGTCTCCTCTTGTGGAAGGGGCCTAAAGCATTCTCCAAAGAAGCATTACATTGGGCTATCACCCCCCAGAACAGCTTTTCAGAAAATAGCTCTGATGAATGACACAGAATAGAAAGTTTCTTATAATCCAGCTCAACAGTACTCAATCTTGGCTTCACATTAGAACTACTGGGAGATTAAAGGATTAGACAGATTAAAAAAAAAGATATTGATATCTGGTCTCCATACCCAGACGCTGATTAAATTTGTCTAGATCAGAGACTGGGAAGCTCCTATTTTTCATAAGTTCCATAGGTGATTCTAATGTATAGCCAGGGTGGAAAGCTACTGACCTAGATATGTTGTCCCCCCCCCACCCCCAGTCTGTTCAGTCATAGTTCTTCCAAGTCTTCAAGTAGCCTTGATGCACTGTTCAGAATTACCCAAACCTGTCATGCCCCTCTACTTCCCATATTTTGCAGCCCCCCACCCCTACCCACCAATCAAGAGACCTACCTACCAACTCTCAGCTTCCCTAACAATCCATGTGAATTTTTTTTTCTTCTCTTGACAAATTTTCCTGTCGCCCTAGTTCTTTGGATGTACCTACACTACAGTCTTATTAGGATGTATTTTAATTGTTTGGTTGCATATCTGCCCTTGCTAAAAGAGTTAATCCTCCAGATGCTTTTGTTCCTTCTTGGAGTCTCCACACTCATGTCTTAGCCCAGGGAAAAAGAACTCTGGCCGAAAGATAGAATCCTGGTCTCCCAGCAGACAGCTGTGTCACCTTAACTAAGTCATTTAACCTCTCTGGACATCAGGTTTTTCATCTATAAAATGCAGATGGCTAAGGCCCCTTCCACTGTGAGCCAATCTCTACATATGAGGGGTTCACACTCTTCTCCAAGTGATATTTGAAGACCATTTCCCTGTTTGAAAACAAAGTAAAGACAGGTGGAGTGATAGCTAAGAAACTGAACACATTTTTACCAAACTTGTAATTAGTGAAACAAGATCAAAAACAAATTATGCTTAGCCAAATTTTAGTTGTAGAAAAATGAATTTTATGTGATAAATGCTTTATCCATGATTACAAAATTCTAATATTCCTGCCAATTCTTCTACATTTCTGAGCAAAGCATGCAAACCTGAGTTTAATTCTCAACATGCACAAATGTCTTATTATTTAGCTTTGTGTGCAGAATAGAGTGAAGAGTCGAGATTTGACCAAGAGGTTGATGTTGAACTTGAGAATTTTCTCCTTCACATCCTAAGCAGCCGGTCATCCAAGCACTACCTTCCCAGACACCCCGGACCTGCGGATGGAGCTCCCAAAATAGAATTCTAAAGAAAGATGATGTCAGTGTTAACAATAATATAATCTCCTTAATTATATGCATGAAATGTAAAAGCAAATCAGTATTTTTAAAAAAATAAAATTTAGAATTAGTCCAATCCAAATGAAGCATCTTCAAATCCTAAAAAAAAAAAAAGAAGTGTTTTAGTAACAAATCCATTTATTCTATTTGAATTACAGATCCCTAACTCACTTTTCTGTATAAATCATTTGTAAAGCAAGTAGCTGCAGACAACTGTTCAGACTCCTTACAAAGAGCATATCCCATTAGTCTATCCCACTGGTGCTCTCACAACCTTAGAAGAAAGAATGCTAGTTTTAGAGTTCAGGTCCTGGCTCTACCATTTAGTAACTGTGTGACTCTGGGCAGGTCAACCCAACCTCCTGATGTGCTTTCAAATCAATTTCCCTGTCCTAGAATATAACAGGAGATTTGAATGGGTTTTCAGCATCAAGGTACCCTGTGGAGTCGAATTTCACTGAAAAGCTAGATTTTCTACCTTGGACTCCAACTAAAGATACAGAGAAGTCCAAGTTTCTCTTTTTATGCTTCTAGAGCTCTTTGCAGATACAACTACTATAGCACCTGTTACACTCAGTTATAACAATGTTTCCATTTCTCTTCTCCCCAGACTGGGAGCCCATACTGAGGCTGAACAGGTGATTAAAGGAAGGGGACATCTGCAGAACCATGTCACTCCTCTCTTCTAACTGAAGAGTAAAGAACTGCTATGCAAAGGAAGGGAGCCCTGGTGGCACAGTGGGTAAGCACTAGGCTGCTAACCAAAAGGTCAGCAGTTCCAATCCACCAGCTGCTCCTTGGTAACCCTCTGAGGTAGTTCTGTCCTATAGGGTAGCTATGAGTCAGAATCGACTCAACAGGTTTGGTTTTGTTTTTTTATGCAAAGGAAGAACAGTTCATCTTCTAAAGGCTCTCTTCTCAGCAGAGATGCCAGTGTGGAAACGACAGAAGATCAAACCCTTGCAGATGAACCAGCTGCCTGACACCTTCCCACATCACGTGGACGGCTCCTCTGCCCCTCCTTTAGAGGTCAGTGATGCTGGCAAAGCCACATCTGGGGACACATGCCTTCTTCACACCATTCCACAAGGGAAGGAAATGTGCTGTGTAGGATCCTTCCTTCCTGCTGAGATGCTACCCCAATTAATGTCCCCTACAATAAGGGTTATTGTGGCAGAGCTGTCCGTAAATCGTCCCCAGGAGGGTGAAGCAAAAAAGGTTTTCTCAAGGTCAGAAACCCACCTCCATGATGCTGGTCAGTTGTTTGGATCTATGAAAAAGAAAATGGAGAAAGACAAAGAAAACTCAGTTTTACTTTTAAAATACTATGAATTAACAGATGTCTAAAACTGTTCTAAATAAGGCTGTTAGGACAGCCTGCTGTTCCTAACCATAAATACCTTGCTTAAAACTACCCAGTGGGACACAACCCAGCCACAGAGTACTGGAGGAGGCCAGGACTGTAGGTCACCAGAATAGCAGGGCTTAAAGACAGACTCTCTGAGGCTGTTAGTCCTAAGTATCCATAAGTCTGTCAGGAAACCCTGAGGGAACCAGGAGGTAAGAAATGTTGGGAGTGTGTGTGTGTGTGCACTTGTGCTCCCTGCTCTCACTGCAGGGAAGTCCTGTGCCAGGGATCTGCTGAGGATTCACGTGATGTTACTGGTTCCTAATCAGAACTTTAATAACATTCCCTGACAATCCCAGTGTGCAGATTTTTCTTTATATCAAAGTAGCTTTGCACCGCAGCTATACTCAGATGCAACTGTCAGCAGTTAAGGAAAGAACTTGAAAACTCACCCCACTTAACTATCTTGGGCTCCTTAAGAGTAACATGCTCCACACGGCAGGAGTACTCATCCTTTCCATTAGGGGTAAATTCCGTGTGGACCAGGAGTTGGAAAGACCAATCTTTGCTGAAAGACAAATCTGAGCTCTCCGTGTTTGCGATCTTCTGTCCATTCTTATACAGATCGATCGTAATCTGGGATGGATGAAACCCGGACACGAAGCAGTTCAAGAAATTTGGTTTTCCGTCCTCTGCTGGATGACGAGTATACACCTGAACCTTTGGAGCATCTGCGGAACATCAGAGAAACACAAATGAAAATTGCCAGAATATTCCACTTGGGTCTAACTTGGTCTAAAACTAGATCAAGGCACCAAGAGTTTAAGTTTGATCATCCACCTCTCCCAACCCCATTTCCACTCTGGCCAAACAAGCTCCTGCATTTCCAAAAGGCTACCTCCATTTTGAGGGATAAACCATGACTTAGTATCCTTCCCGCATAAATTCTCCTACCAGTTGCCATCGAGTCAATTCTGACTCATGGTGACCCCATGTGTGTCAGAGCAGAACTGTGCTCTATAGGGTTTTCAATGGCTGTGACCTTTCAGAAGTAGAATGCCAGGGCTTTCTTCCGAGGCACCTCAGGGTAGACACAAACAGCCAACCTTTCAGTTAGTAACCGAGCGCTTAAAACCATTTGCCCTACCCAGGGACTCTTACATAATTCTCCTACACATGCCTTTTTGTTTTCTTCCAAACAGATTTCTAGCAGTATCTTATTCTGTCACTGGAGATTGTACTGAATCTTTAAGAACTTTCTCTGGAGGCTCTCAAGAACCTTCGATTACTTCTCAGCCCCCATAATAATTCCTTACCACATCACTCAAGGCTCTGCATGATCTGGCGCTAACCTACATTTAAAACTTCATTTCTCGCTTCACACACCCTCCGCAGTAGTCACATTAAACTACTCATGTTATTGTACCCTGTTTCAGCCCCTCCAAATTTTGTTCTTATTACTACTCCCCTCCTTTTGGGTTCCTGCTCCTGCCTGAATCTACGCCTGTCTGACTCCCTAATACGTACTGTCTAGTTTGGATAGTGTCTGTCCCACAGCAGCTGCTCTCTAAGTGGCAGATCTTCTTACTCCCTTCATGGTCAGGTTCCTAAGACCGCCAACCAAAGGTATATTCCTATCAGGCACACCTCTTTATCCCTTCCCCAATACTGGTATATGCCAAACCTCGATCTGATTTCATACCCAGGAAGGTGAGCTAGAACACAAAGCAACAAAATTCAGATGCCCACAGGAGCTGGCAGATACCCTAAGTAAGTAAGTTGGACTGGCTAAGAGACAACAGGGAGGGGTGAGAACTGTGGCAAATGGGGCTAAAGACAGTGGAATTTGTGTTGTTAATCACTGCCCTCAAGTGATTATCACTACCCAGGCTGGGAATACACTGTATAATACTACAAAACGGTGGTTTCCAAAATGAGATGCATGACTAGACACCCATGGGGATGTGGGAAAAAAATATTATAAACTCCAGTTCTGTATGTTTCATCCAAAATGAAGGTAAGTGTTGTTGTTGTGTGCCATCCAGTCAGTTTCAACTCATAGCAACCCTATATGACAGAGGAGAACCGCCCCAGAGGGTTTCCTAGCCTGTAATCTTTATCACCAGGTCCTTTTTTTCTCACGCAGCTGCTGGGTGAGTTTGAACTGCCAATCAGTTAGCAGCCAAGCACTTAACCACTGCACCACCAGGGCTCCTTAAGATTAAGTGTTACTGCTACTAAATATACAGATTGATTGTAATACATGTGTATAATTCACTTTTAAATACACATCTATTCAGGGCACATGATCTAAACGGTAGTGCCCCCCACCCCATGTCCAGGATATGGTAGGGAGAAGGAAGAGTACCAGGTCACCCCTGACATGATAGCTCTGTCTAAAAATACCCCATCATCAAAGGAAATGTCCACCAAAAGCTAGACTGGGGATCCCAGTGAAGTCCTGATTTTTTTTTTCCCATAAAGTTAAAAGTTAAGGTAAACCAGAAAGCTCTTCGCATTTGAGCTTCTAGTAATAATAATATAATAAATGCCACAGGGATCAGAGCACAGGTTCATTCTGCCCAGTATTCTCTCTTTGAGGGAGGCAGGCAAGGTTTTGCTAAGATACAACAGTAATGATCTCTTCTAAGCGGAGGGCATGAACATCAGAAAGGCCTGAGTTTGAGTCTGGGCTCAGCCATTTATTGGTTCTGCAACTTCAGGAAAGTTTTTTAAGTTTCTGAAGCTTAACTGAAAAATTAATTTATGCCTGTGGTAAAACAAAACAAAACCCACACACAAGACAGAAGGGAAAACAGACTCCCAGAGACAATCACCATTACCAGTTTCCTGTGTATCTTTCAGAAATGGTCTATGCATGGCATGTATTATTTTGGACATTTTTGAAATTAAATTTTAAAAAATGTTGGATTATTATTTTAAATGACATGTTGTTGTTACAAAGCAGGGTTTTTGAGCAGAGAAAAAACGAGAGGCCAGCACATTGCCGGGCGCTTAGGAAGTACTCAAGACCTGCGGTGTCCTTCACAGCATTGGTCACCATCTTGGATTACCCTTATTACTGGTTTTACAACCTGACTTTGACAAACCTTCCCTTTTTCAAAACTGAAAGTAGAGGCGTCAGTTCATCCTGGAAAGAACCAGGCAAGGAGCCAAACAGGGAGCCTTCTGTGAAGAAAAGGCAACAGGGGCCCGGGCAGCCTGGCCTGCTCTCTACAATCCGACAAACCCAGGTGAGGAAGGGTGTTTTTGAGAGGCACCGAAGTACAGCTAAGAGAGGAACTCTGGCATAGCATCTGCAAAATGCCCTGGTCAGGCTCAATTTCAATCCCAATTGTCTGCCATTCATCCCCTTTGTGATTAAGTTACTTAAACTCTCCCTGCCTGAGTTTCCTGACTTGTGAGATGTGGAAGATAATCATAGTATTATATCCCAGACTCATTTTCAGAATTAAATGCCGTAAAACGGAGTCCTGGTGGCTCAGTGGTTAAGAGCTCAGCTGCTAACCAAAAGGTCCGCAGTTCGAATCCACCTGCCGCTCCTTGGAAACGCTATGGAGCAGTTCTACATTGTCTTATAGGGTCGCTGTAAGTCGGAATCGACTGGATGGCAACAGGTTTTTAAAGCACTTAACGTCGCCAGCACCCAGTGAACACTCAATAACCGGTAGCTGCTATGGTTATTACTGAAAGACATGAAATGAGAACAAGTGAGTTAATGATGTGAAAATGCTTTGTAACGGCGCAAAACCTTCTACAAAGGCCGTTTCCTTGCCATAGTTTGATCCTGTATGAATCGGGGACTGAGGCGGGAAGGCGAGCCTAGGTGGCGCCCAGAGGAAGCCCGCAGGCCTGGAGGGGTGGAGAGAGTGGGGAGTCGCAGCGGACAGACTTACCGCGGCCGTTGCCTCCTCAAAACCCAAGACATCTGTCTTCACCACCTCACAAGCCCCAACTCGGCGCCTTTGGGACACGTCTACCTCCACCCCTTACCCCTCCAGCTGCGCCCCAGGAGCTACGGCCCCTTGGAAAAGCGAAAGAGAAACCCTCCCCGCCTACCCTCTGCCGCTCTGAAGCTTATTAACACCCCGAAACTTTGTCCTGACCCACCCAGCCCGGCAATCCAGCGCTTCCCCCCTACTCTCGGGGAAGAGGGCAAGACGCGTGCGCCCCGGGCGTGCACCCCCTTCGCACTGCCCGGCCACCTGCCGCTTCCCCACTCTGAGAGGGAGCCCAGGCCGAGAGTTAGGGCCGAGGGGGAGGCGGCAAGGAAAGGACGATGAGGAGGGGACACTCACACTGCACGGCATCCAGGCTGGGCAGACACAGCAGCGCCACCAGGGCCAAGGCCACGAAGGGACCCATGCCGAAGCGAACCTCGCGGAAGCGGAGCGCCGTATCCCCGCCCGGCCCCGTGCGCCCACTTATATGCCGCCCGCGCGCGGCCAATCAGCGCCCGGACCGCGGAGGCCGTCACCGGTCTCCAAGCTCGCAGCGCCGGGCAAGGTTAGCGGCAGGGACTTCCCCGTTGTCGGTTTCATTTTCTTATGAAGTCACGTGATGCTGAGGAAGACACATGCTGGACTGGGTGGGTTTGTGCCTTTCGATCTGCAGTGCGCGTCCGAGCTTGGGGGGCGGCCTGCCATCCTAGGGCTTCGAGCTGGAAGCATCTTCGTCCAGCGCCCTCGCTTTGCCAGCAAGACCTAAAGATGCTAAGTGACAAGCTTCCCGCGCCCCGGCCAGTTAGGAGCCTAAAACCTGTGGTTTAAATCGAGAAAACTGAAGCCCAGAAAGGTAGTGTTGACAAAGGATGAACAGTGCTGGGCAAAACTAAAACGTCGGCTTAGAGCTACAACCGGGGAACGCACCGCAGGGTTTTCGGTTTCCCTGGGCAAGAAAATAGTCTCAGAAACCTCGAGGCCTCCTGAGGACGTCTCAGAGAAGCACCCAGAACGAGGCCCTTCTTGCTTCCCGAATCTCTTAAGGGAAAAATTTCTTTTTGTAAAGCTCTGGGCCGAGACGTTCTTCCCTGTGTCTTCCCTTGGCTGTTTAGGTAATTCTTTTTGTGTGGTTGATCTGTGGAAAAGTACGACCACTGATAGTAAAAGCAGTAACTGCTTAGAGCTTTAGGGTTTACTAGAGCCTTCAACAATATTCTCTTCTCGTTAACCACACTAGAAGGGTGCCTGGTCACAGTGGGCACTCCATGATCGGAACGAACGAATGAGCTAATTAGTGACTAAATTTATGGGTAGGGAGAACAAAGGCTAAGAGGCTAGGATTAAAATTTTTGCCTGATTCTATTGGCATTCATGCTTTAGACACTTGGAAGACAAAGAGTGTGGCAATTCGGGTTTGTTTTTTTTTGGTTTTGGACTGCACTGGCCCACTGACTGTAAAAGCCAATTGTACATAGGATCGCTATGAGTGGGAACCGACTCGAGGGCACCTAACAATAACAAAAGCGTGACATGAAAAGCAGTCTCACGAAGAAAACCAACACTCTGTAGATACCATAAATAAAGTGCAGTGGCAAGCCGTGGTCTTCCCGGGTTTTCTTCTGAGTGGAACGGTGAAAAGAGGAAGTGGACCAGGGGGGTGGGGAGGGGCAGAGATCACGGAAATCACCAAGACTTTCAGTTGAAGGAGCTTGGTCCCAAGGAGCACAACAAACATTTCCTCCGTTGCTTTTACATATTCTTAGATCTTTTAATGATTGTTGTTTTGGAAACCCTGCTGGTGTAGTAGTTAAGAGCTATAGCAGTTAACAAGAAGGTCAGCAGTTCAAATCCACCAGGTGCTTCTTGGAAAACCCTATGGGGCAGTTGAACCCTGAGAACTAGGAGTTCTTTTGTTTTTGTTTTTGTTTTTTTGTGAAGGCCACGTCTCAACTACAGAATGTAGAATACTCTCCACAGACCTAAAGAAATGTTACAACGTGTGAGAGAGCCTCCCACAGTGCCGAGCACATAGTAAGTGCTCTATAATGTTTAATAAGTGCACTGTCATTATTAATGTGTTTACCTAGCTTTTCTACCAGCTCTTTCTATAACTCTTTGAAATAGAAGAATAATTATTATGTATAAACTTATCAGTTAAAACTTCTGTCTCCCTTCCCCATCCCCCCCCCCTTTTTTTTTTTAACTCGGTTAAGGAGCCCTGGTGGAGCAGTGGTTAAGAACTCAGCTGCTAACCAAAAAGGTCGGCAGTTCGAATCCACCAGCTGCTCCTTGGGAACCCTATGGGACAGCTATTCTCTGTCCTACAGGGTCACTGTGGGTCGGAATCTAGTGGATGGCAACAGGTTTTAAAGCACATAAGGCCTGAAATGTTTGTGTTGAATCGTTTGCCAGTGCCCTGGGAATACAGGGAGAGACAGGGCTATTTTTTGCCTCTTAGTTCCGTGTTTACTACATCACAGGGAAATGTTGTACTTAAAATTTATTAAAGATAGTTTTTCACCTATTCACATAGCCAATTAAAAATCAATAACAGATGCAGTGAGAGCAAAGAAAAGTCTTTCCATTTTCAGTGTTTATGGAACTCCTGTGTTTCTCTTGGATTTCCGTTTATGACATATTTTGAATAGTGAAAGTGAAAATGAGATATAAAACTATTTTTTAAAAAATAAAAGCACCGTTTGCCTAAGAGGGAAAGTTCTGAAAATCTACGAGCATGGCAATTTAATAGTGTTATGTCCCCGTAGTGGGATTGACAGATGACTTTTTTATTTTTTTACCTGTATGATTTTCCTGAAGTTTTTTTTTTTTACAATGAACATTTAATATAATAAATGTTGGCAAGGATGTGGAAGAACTGGAACTCTCATACACTCTTTTACTTATTTATTTATTTTTTATTGTACTTCAGGTGAAGGTTTACAGAACAAATAGTTTCTCATGAAACAGTAGTACACATATTGTTTTATGATATTGGTTAACAACCCCACGACATGTCAACCCTCTCCCTTCTCCACTTTTTTTTTTTTTTTTTTTGGTGAAAATACACATAGCCAAAGATACACCATTTCAAAAATTTCTACATGCACTGTTCAATGACATCAACCACGCTCTTCCAGTTGTGCTGCTATTCTCACTTTAGATGAAGGTTTACAGAACAAAATAGTTTCTCATTAAACAGTTAGTACACATGTTGCCCTATGACAATGGTTAACAACCTCACAACACATCAACACTATCCTTACTCAACCTTGGGTTCCCTATCACCAGCTTTCCTGTCCCCTTCTGCCTTCTAGTCCTTGTCCCTGGACTGCTGTACCTCATTAGTCCCATTTGGTTTTATGGGGCTGTCCAATCCCTGCTGAACAGTGAACCTCAGAAGTGACTTCACCACTGTCACCATACGCTCTTGTTGAGAATGTAAAATGGTACAACCACTTTGGAAAACAGTTTGGCAATTTTTAAAAATATACAGTTTTTTTAAATATGCATTCACCATATGATCCAGCCATTCCACTCGTTGTTAGGTGCTGTTGAGTCAGTTCCAACTGATAGCAACCCTATGTATAACAGAATGAAACACTGCCCAGTCCTGCGCCATCCTCACAATCATTGCTATGCTTGAGCCCATCGTTGCAGACACTGTGTCAGTCCACCTCGTAGAGGGTCTTTCTCTCTTTCACTGACCCTCTACTTTACCAAGCATGATGTCCTTCTCCAGGGTCTGGTCCCTTCTGAAGGATTATGTCCACACAAAGACTTATACATGAATATATATAGGAACTTTATTTGTAATAGCTCGAAACTGGAAAAATTTAAACATCAACAGATAAATGGATAAACAAGTTGTGCTATATCCATATGATGGAATACTACCAGGAATTTAAAAAAAAAAAAAAAAAAAAGGAATGAACTACTGATGCACACAATTACATGGATGAAATAATTATGCAGAATGAAAGAAGCCAAATCAAAAAGAGTATATACTGTATGATTCTATTTATAGAAAACTCTAGAAAATGCAAACTAATCTATAGTGACGGAAAGCAGAGGACTGGTTCCTTGGGGCGGGTCAGGAGCATGAGGAAACTTTGGGGGTAATGGATATGTTCATTATCTTGAGTTTGATGATGGTTTCAGAAGTGTACACATAGGTCAGAAATTATTAAATTGTACACTTTAAGTCTAGTTTATGTATGTCAATTATATCTCAACAAAGCCATTTTTAAAAAAACAACCCCTAAAATCACAATTACCTATATTAGTACTAGGCATAAGAAGAATAAAGTACTTAAACTGAAAGAAAAGAGGGATAATGAAGTGAGGGAGAGTATAAGGAAGAGATTAAAGCTCCAATGAATCTGGACACACATAGGTGAATCTTTGCAGTTTTCTGAGATGGACTTATCCAAACAACCAGAAAAGCCAGGCCCACTAGAGAGGAGAGGAAATAACACTGACAGGACATTTGTGCCAGACCCTTTCAAATGTTATGTCATCGAATTCCTTGCTATTCAAAGTATGGTCCACGGACCACCAGCACTGGCAACACCTGGGAGCTCTCAGAAATGGAGACACTTGAACCCCATTCTAGACCTACTAAACTAGAATCTGCATTTTAACAAAATCCCATGTGATTTACATACACACTAAAGTTTGAGAGGTGCTGACCCAAACTACACAACAGTCTAGAAGGTAGGTGGTATTTTCATTCACAGATAAGGAGATCGGGACTCTGAGAGGTAAGATGCTTACTCAATGTGATGGTTAAAGTTCTGTATCAACTTGGCTAGGCCATGGTTCTCAGTGGTTTGGTAGTTATGATGTAGGTTTGGCAGCTGTGGAATGATGTAATCACCTCCATAATGAGATCTGATATAATGTAATCACCTCCATGATAAGATCTGCTATGAGCAGCCAATCAGTCGAAAGGGAGTTTCCTTGGGGGTGTGGCCTGCATCCAATATATGTGGACTTTCTGGCAAAGCTCGTGGGCTTTTGCTTGCTCTGGATCCTGCAGCTGGCTCCTGATCTGACCTCCGGTTCTTGGGACTTGAGCTAGCAGCACACCTGCCAATCTTGAGATTCATCAACCTCCACACCCTGAGAGCCAGCGGCCTATCATCTTACCTGCTGATCTTGGGATTCATCAGCCTATGTAGCCTGTGAGCCAGAGGCCTGCTGTCTGACCTGCCGTTCTTGGGTTTACCAGCCCCTGCAGCTACGTGAGTCAGGAGAAGCCTCCAGCCTGGAACTTTCCAGCTTCTACAACTGTGTGAGCCATTTCCTTGATATAAATCTCTCTTCAACCATCTGCTATCTATCTACCCATCTAATCTATCTATCTATAAAAATGCTTCATTGATTTTGCTTCTCTAGAGAACCCAGCCTAAGACACTCAAGATCTCACTGAACTAGGATTCAAATGCTGGTCCATCTGATTCC